CACGGCGTTATATCCAAGAAGACAGAACACTTCATAACCACTGATGTGATAACTTCAAATCCTACAATCTCTGCTTCATTCATACTGCACTAGATTTTAACGTTAATTTAAATTATTCGGAATTTTGAAGTTCAGTAATATATGAATTTCATAAATCCTGAACTTTATTGTCATGGAAATTACCCTACACTCTTTCTTTGCACACGCAAATATAAAAACTGATTACAGAGGGCTCTGCATGTAAGGGAGAACCGGGTCACGGAACATGAAATCTTATTAACCTTAATAAATCAAATGCCAAGTCTTCCTAAAACTTTCCATACAGAAAATTTACCGTTAGGCATGTTCATGATAAGTTATTATTCGTAAAATTAAATAAGCCTATGTACCTAAAATTACGTTATAAAAAAGATTTTCTTATTTCATATTGTGTGTATGTTTTCTTGTTGGGATTCTTAAACTCAACCAGGAAACATCTTTCCTAAGTGGAAGCCAATTTGTTTTGTATACTGCTAAAATTAGACGAATTATTTTTCTCGTAATAATATTTTGATATTAATGAATTTGTAATATTTCAGTCTATGGAAGCATAAAGTAATTTCTTCGCTTAATTATGAGCTGGGGTGGAGTAGTCGGTATAGGGACTGGCTACAGGTTGGACGACTTAGGGGTCGGAGTTCGGGTCCCGGTATAATCAAGAATTTCTCTTCTCCAAATCGTCCAGACTGTCTCTGGGGTTCACCCAACCTTCTATCCAATGGGTACCGGTGGTTTTTTTCCCCGGAGGTAAAGCGGCAGGACCGTGAAGCTGACCACTCACCTCCAGCTAGTGCCGAGGTCAAGAAAATGTGGATCTATACATCCACTTCCACCTACTCCTTCATGGCATAGTGCTTAATTCGTTGAGCACAGGGACAACTTTACATTTTGCCATTTGGTTAATTATTTGCTTAATTTCACTGAGTGTATTGGCGTAGATGTAACTTTTCTGGAATCTTTAGGGCGTCGGTTCAGAGCTCGGACAAGTCGCCGGCTATCCTCATTAACATGTTTCTTAGTTTTCCCTTGTCCCTCCAGGAAAATCCGGGTCAGTCCCTAGATTAGGCTACGACCGGTTCGTTTCAAATCCTTTCCAATTCGTCTGTCATACACCTAGTCGACGCTACATAACCTAGAATCACATACACAATTTAATCCAAACATCGAGAACGCCAACCAATATACAAATCATAAAAGTTGTTCCTCTGCTTAACTAATTAAGCACTATGCCATGAAGACGTAAGGGGAAGTGGATTTATAGATCCACATTTCTTGACCTAGCCACTAGTTGGAGGTGAGTGGTCAGCTTCACGCACCAGCCGCTTTACCCCCGGTACCCACTGGATAGGAAGCTGGACGAACCCCAGAGCCGGTCTGGATGACATGGAGAAGTGAAAATTCTTGTTCCTACTGGGGCTCAAACTCCGACCCCTTGGTCGTCCAGCCCGTAGCCAGTCGCTATACGAATTACGCTATCCCGGCTCCTAATATATATCACAGTTGTAAAAAATCGAGGCTGATCAGAATATATCCCTCGAAAATTAGGTTAGTGATTTCGAGTCCGACTCTGGCAAGTATGTACATTCGCATTTCTCTGTATCTTATGTATTTTTATTATTGTTAGTGGGGTGGGACAAAGTCCCGTGTACTGCGGCCACTTCTGGCCAATTGTACCAGCCCCAGATGATAGGAGAGGGTGATTGTGGAGCAATTGGTGGAATGAAGATTGGCAGGGGAAACCGAAGTACTCGAAGAAAACCTGCCCCAGCGCCACATTGTCCACCACAAATCCCACTTGACCAGACCTAGGATCGAACCCGGGCCGTCGCGGTGGGAAGCCAGCGACTAACCGCTTGAGCTATGGCGCGGCCCATTCTGCACTGTTAGTGTCAGACTATGTGACTACCATTCGCAAGATTACTCAGAAGTGGGCGGAGGGCAACGCTGCGACATGCGTCGCTTACCCTCCAGTTAATTTCGACGTTAAGTATTTAAACGGATCATCCTGCCAGTCTTTTCGCAAGCAATAAAGTATCGCCTACAGAGACAGTAACTAATGTCCTGCGCCCCCTACGTGACGCATGGAGTTCAGGACACAACGTCCAGCACTATCCAATCACAAAACACATCCCACTTTACGTAATACACTCTCTCGCTCTTTCCCTCTCTCCACTTGCTTTTCCTACCATTATTTTATACCGAGCAAATTAGCTTAAGTGATAAGGATTTTGGTCTGTATTCGGCAGATGCTCGGATCCTATCTCGTCGTGGATACAGAGCTATCCTGGCTGAAGTTTTCCGTAATTCCTACGAATTATTTTAAGCAAATACTGGAATAGTATCTTAAAATTAGGCCAGGACCCTTCCTCTGCATATATTTCTAGTAAAAAGGTAAAGCTATCCCTGCAACAGGCCGTGGAGGACCATAGGGTTGTGAGACTTTGAGGCTCCCATATTTTTGTGGACAGTTGGCTCACAGATGGCGGTAAGGTGGCCAGTCTTTCTCGCCGGCCGCTCTTTGTCTCCCAGGAAGATTCCTGGTACTCGTTTCTGTTAGAGGCTGAGTCAACCACAGGGCCATAATGTGGCTGGAAGGATTAGGTAAATTGAAAATTCCACCTCATATGGACTTGAAACCGCGACCTTCCAGTTTGTAGCATAATACCTGAATCAAATAAGCTACCGCGTGCTCCCCATTATTTCTAGTGTATGATTCATTATCATGTGTACATTTGACTCTATGTAGTTTTTATTATTCATAGTTAAATTTATTATAAATATGCAACCATATTTATTTGTCTTTTAAGCAAATATATGTAATAACAGAACCACAACTAAGCACTGCTTCATTAGATTTTCTATTTCATTTTGCACACCCTACTCTGATCTCACGAATGTATTTTTATTAATACGTACCAAGTAATAAATATGTCTCTTAAATTAAATTATATATTTAACATTACAGCATAATTTCGAAATATCCGAAATCTGGTTTGTCGCAACTACACGTACATTTAAGGAGAATGTTGCAGACTGATTACATTTTTGGGGGCAGAATTTGTTTGATTGACCAATGCTTGAAAATGCGAGTAGGAAGGCCTCTCTAATTTTCAGAATTTTACAACAATTTCATTTTAAACCAATAACTAATGAATTTTTGTCCAACCGTAAATAGAGATCGCAGGTTCGAATCTCGCTTATGATGTGAATTCCTGCACACATTTCCCCTCAGGGCACATTTTCTTGCTCATCGTCCAAATTTGAAGCTTCCCTAGCGGCTGAATGAACGGCTCGGGAGGAGAAACACTTCAACATGAATACCAGGTCCGAACGTACCACCAAAATCCGGGAGAGGTGCATGTATAAGCAGGAAGTTCTGGGATCAACTAACCGCCAACTTTCCTTTGATACAACGCGGACCGCATAGAAATATACGCGTGAAATAATTCTCCTATTTTTATATATGTATATTCAATGCCGGGGTAACGTTTTTGCCGACCTGTTGCTTAGCAACCGTAGGGGGATATATATACAGACACACAGACTGAAGGGAGGGGTTTGTGAAGTATGCCGTTGAGATGGGCGTAGTTACCATGTTACATAAAATTTGGTTCAGGCATTCAAAGGCTAAAAGGGGGAATACAAAGACACGCAGACAGCAAGGTAATCGCGTATGGCTACTTCATTTTTTTTTTCCAAAATGAGGGAAGTAATCTAAAAGAGAATACAAATAGAACCAAGTTTCGAAATTACTCTGTAACACAAAATAATGAACACTTCGCTCAGTAAATATTCATATTTCACTTTTATGAATGGCTTTATAATATTTTTTAAAACAACTCTGGTAAGTTTATTTTCTCTATAAAATTATCTCTTATAATTATTTGTACATATGTTAATTATTAATGTCTTCTGGTATGTTATGCCGTGTAGTCTGGTAGATCTTTAGTAACGTTTCTGTGAAACCTTTTGATGATTTTCATACCACTTTTTCCAAGTTCATCGTATTTTTCTACCCTGAATATAGAACACCGGATAGCTTCGAAAGATTATTGACAATTTATTAATTACGCTGTGGAACATCTCAGGAGGCCGATCACAGTGGCCGCGCGGTCCAAGACAAAAAAATCTTCACCCGCTTTAACACTGGGGTTGTGGGTTCAACCCCCACTCAAGGCACGGATGTCTGTGCTTATTTTGTTTGTTAGGTAGCGGTCTCGCGACGGGCTGATCCCTTGTCCCAGGAATCCTACTGACTGTCTTAGATTAAGAAACTGAAAAGAAACGAACCGTTTCACGGATGCCTTATGCTCCAAGTGGAAGCAACAGGAATAGAAGAAAATGAAGAAGAAGACATCTCGGGAGACAACAATCTTCGTAATCACCACCGCGAAAATCTCAAATTTCTCATGATAAAATTTTGGCCAAGAGTTTCATTCGCTATTACTGATTTGTAATGTCATCAAATGAATCGAATGGAAAACTGTAGAACTTGAACGGTGTGTGAAATAGTGATTCCTCTATTCCCTTAGCTTGGAAATTTGTTGCGAATTGTATCATTTTTGTATCTATGCGTGGCATATCTTCCTTATTAGCCTTGGATTATATGTTTACAACTTTATGTTACGAGAATGAATAAAAGAAAGGAATGGAAAATCACAAGAACAGATTGTTGCTGTTTTTTCGTTCTTCTAAATTATAAAATGAATAATGCTGTACTTTTAGATATGAGACGTGACTGCCTGCAGAAAAAGCACTTGCCAGATTTAACAGAGAAGTTTAGGACAGCCTAAGCTCCCAGTTATATTAATCTCACTCTCGGGCAATAAATCAGAATTAACTCTTTTTGGTATAAAATTCTTGTCACGTTCTGCAGCTACAAAATAAGTTCTCCCTCCTCCATTCGATTTTTATTTCAATTCTTTCCTATCACTCTTAGTACCCACTTCTTACTCTTTCAGTGCAGCCTCCCTCTCTTTACATTGCTCCCCCATCCCTCCTACCGCTGGCAACCTCTCCAATCCAAGAGTTGCTGCGAAGGAAACGAGAGTAATTGTTGGTGCTGTGATTTGATTTGACCCGGACGGCGTCGTGGTAGTCAAGCGAACCGACTACTGTCGCCAGAGATGGAGTTGGGTGTACTCGTCTTGCTGCTCGGTGGGTGCTGGGCCTTCGAGTGGCACCACGGACACGAGACAACCCAGCATTACAGCAACGAGTGGATGGTGCGTCTGGAAGGAGGGCCAGATGTCGCGCAACTTCTGGCTGTGCAACTCGGGTACGATTTCCTCGGATCGGTGAGTCATTCGCTGAGCCCATATTACAGACAATTCTTTTATAGTTCCTACAGTTAGTCTAGGTCACAATGTTTGGGTAAATAATGAACTATATGTTCCACAGTACAGAGTGATTCAGAAAGATGGACACAATTTCAATTGACTATATTTCCTGAACTGTATGTTGCATTTGAATTCTGTAAAGTACATTTGAAAGAGGATGTTACAAAGTTTCTAGTACTACCGCTAGTGCCCTCCATCACTGCGTCCCGGGCCGATCATGTGTATCGGAGAAGAACGTGGAGTGCATTCGAGTGAACTGTGAGCGCAGCCCAATGAAGTCAACCCGTAGTGCTAGTAGAGAACTTGGACTATCGCAAACAACTGTGTGGCGTGTACCACCTCTTCCCACAAATTTGAATGACCTAAGAAACTGTATCACAGCTGCGGTGAACTCAGTGACGCAAGATATTTGTCATCGAGTGTAGGATGAATTCAGCTACCGTCTAGATGGTATCCATGCAGCCGGAGGAGGGGGGGCACATTGAACATCTATAAACTTCCATGTATGTATAATCAAGTGTAATTTACAGAATTCGAATGCAACATATAATTCAGGAAATATAGCCAATTGAAATTGTGTCCATCTTTCTGAATCACCCTGTATATCCAGTAACAAATAACAACATTCCAAACTGAGTTACAGCTCCGGCTCTCAACTTACAGCGTCATCAATTTTGAATCATGAATCAATAATATTTTGGACTAAAATGCAATTATTATTTTCGAAATATGTACGCAGACATTATCTTTGGAAATAATAGGACTAAGAGCTTGCTTGTAGATTATCATAAAGGAGTTTCTCCATAGGCTTTGCTTCAAAATTCAATGATAAATTAAATTTCGTAGCCACTGAGTTACACCAAAGGCTCTGCTCTCCCGTTTCCTCGTTCATACGAACTTCAGGTTTTACCTTTATGCTGCTATTGTAAATCATAGACTTTGTGTGTTACTTTAAATTTTGGATATTACATCTAAATTAGCAATATCAATAAGACAGAGCAGTTATTATTATAAAATAAACAACTCAGCTTAATTGTAATTAAATCCAAAAATGTGTAACTGCGTTTAATGTTAACTTTGAATTTCACCAAGGATCCTTCATTACTTGGCTAAAACTAACTTCACATATTCTTATAGCCTGCTTATACTTTGAAAATTTAACAAAATAAATAACAACTTTATCCAAGATTTGTTTTAAATATGTCAGCTGAAATCTGTTGCAAGAAAAGTAATTTAATACTATAAGATTTTCTTTTTGTTACACTACTCTATTATTTAAATTTTCAGAGATCTGAAGTTAGTTAAAGCCTCTTCTTTGCGTTTATCTTTTGGGGGCCTCTATTAGACCAATGAAATATTCATATGGTTTTGTAGCATTTGAAGACTCACTCAGGAATAAGCAGCTGTTTAGACAAGAGTTTCATAACAGCGATTCTTCGTAGTTCTTTTCCGGAAAGTTTCCAAGACCGTAAACAGCTAGATTGGGCAATCCGCACTGCGTACTTGGATATGAATCCCGACTATGATTTCAAAAATTGGGCCACTTCTGCGAACTAACCAGAAGACTATACTGCTTTAAATAATATTTTGGATTAATTTGCTTTTAAGTTGATAACTTAGAAGTACGGGGCAAGCGGTAGCGTAGTTGGTTTAGGAACTATGCTACAAGCCGGAAGGTCGCGGGTTCAAGTCCCGATGAGGCCAATTGATTTTTTTCAATTGACCTAATCCTTCCGGCCGCACTATGGCCCTGGGGTAGACTCAGCCTCTAACAGCAATGAGTACCAGGAATTAAATAAATAATTATCCTTGGTAGTAAAGCACGGCCGGCGCGTAAGGCTGACAACCTTACCGCCATCTGTGAGCCGATTGTCTAGATAATGTGGGACCCTCAACGTCTCACGACCCTATGGGCCTTCACGGCCTGTTACAGGGATAGTTTTACTTTTTTTTTTTTTTTACTTTAACTACGAAGTACGTATTTAGGTGGTTTTATGAACATTTAAAATGAAAACTGCACCCTGGCCTTGGTCGCTACATGGTGTCGACAACTTAAAGAATGTTTGTTTCAAATTCTTCTTTTGTTTCATTCAACCTTATGGACAGGTGTACTGTGTTGTTATGGACGATTTTAGACGTATCTGAAACTGACTAAAAGGAATATTTGGGCTGTGCCTAGCAATTTACTATTATATTTTTAAAATTACAAAACACCAGTGAGGACTAGAACCTTTAAATCAAGACATATTTAAGTTGATTTGTACTGAGTGCATTAGTTAATTGCGAGTAGATCATGGAGTGCAAAAACCGTTGATAGAGTACGAATCAAAACCGATTAAATATGTATGAATCGCTCTGAAAGCGTCTTCCCCGGCTGAGTTTGCTGGGTTTCCTTTAGTACTTACAATACAATTACTTTGGCATGATCCACACCACTACGGGCATAAACTTTCATATCACACGCTTTAATTAATTATTAACAATAACAATAATAAATAACGAATTAGAGGCTGGTCTGCAAAGACCATTTAACAAGCTTCAAAATTTAGCTAATAACAGGCCTTAAGGTGAGAATTTCAACCGTGAAAACAAAAATTGTGGAATTTCAGGAATAAAACCGCGAAACGTGTAAAATAGTGATAGAAAACAAAATAATAGAAAGGAGATAAAATTTATAGTCTTTACAATATCACACTCTTTGAAAGAAGATATAAGTAAAAGTTTAAGTAAGTTACAGAGAAACTATAGAAGAATAAGAACACTGACACAAAAATATTCTAAATAGCACATAATTAAACAGTATACAGTGATGCTAGTACCCGCCATGATCTAATTTTTTTCCCCTTGGCATTACAGCCCCAGTGGGCCTAGGCCTACCTCCATGAACTTCTCCGTTCACTTAGGTTTTTCTAAATCTTAGACACTTGGTAGGACTCCTTGGGCGGGTGATCAGCTCGTCGTAAGGCCTCTACCTGTACACAAACACAGAAAAACGCACACGCACAAACTAAACATCCATGCCCTGAGTGGGATTCGAACCCACGATCCCGGTTTCTAAGCGAGGGAAGACAGTACATGCCTTAGACCGCTCGGCTACCGTGACCGGCCGCCATGACTTAATACGAGTGAAAATTGGACAATTTATCGAAAAGACAAGGTAAAATTGAGTCAGTTGTAGCGCGGGTCCTACGTTCCGTGGCTGGTTTCACTCTCCTTGGTCGAAATGAAGTGTAGATATATCTTCAGGATTTAAAGTATTTATTGTAATTGAGCGAATGCAAAAAGAATAGGAGAACTGAAATAGACATATCTTGAGGGTGACAACAGAGAGAATCCGAAGAGCATAGTTACCTGGTAAGATGAATTCTCTTGATGTCGGAGATGCTATTACTGCTTCTGTTATTGCTGCTGCTTCTGCTACTGTTACTGCTA